AGAAGACAGAGAACCCCAAGACATGATGATTCACGTAGGGGTTACAGGAGGGAATATAGAAGGAGCACACAGAACCAGGAACCAAGGAGAGAGGAAAGAAGACAAATGTTAGCACAGAGTGGAGGCTCAGATGATGACAGGGAATACAGACAGAGAAGGAATCGAGAGCCCAGTACAGAGGACAGGAGACAAATGACAGCACAGGGTAGAGCCTCAGGTGAAGATAGGAGGGAATACAGACAGAGTACAAGGAATCTAGAACCAAGTGCAGAGGAGAGGAGACAGATGATAGTTCATGGAGAAAGTTCAGATGCAGAATAGGGGTGCCCGGGGGCTCCACTAGATCTAGAGAAGCCCATTAGAATAACCCCCTCAGAGCCCCGGGTAACCCTCGCTGTGGGGGATCGTCTGATTGATTTCTTGGTGGACACTGGAGCAACATACTCAGTTTTGAATTCGAAATTAACTAAAATGAGCAAAAAGACTGCAGCAGTCATTGGGGTTACAGGGAAGTCACAACAGACACCCTTCCTGCAACCTTTGGAGTGCCGGCTAGGCACCACACAGCTCCAGCACAGCTTCCTATACATGGAAGAGTGTCCAATCCCTCTCCTTGGTCGTGACCTTTTAAGTAAGCTCAACGCACGAATTATATTCTCACCAAAACATCAGAGGCTTCACCTACAGGTGCCTCCAGAGCATGCTCTGCGGTTCCAGATGTTACTTACTCAAGATGTTCCACCGAAAGGTGAAATTTTACCTCCAGAAATTGTTGAAAGAGTAAGTAAATGGGTATGGGCTGATGGAACCCCAGGACGTGCGAAAAATGCGGAGCCTGTAAAAATAGAAGTGATAGAGGGGAGCAGAACCCCGAGGAGGAAGCAATACCCCTTAAAAGAGGAGGCCTTGAGGAGAATTGAGCCAGTATTGAAAAGGTTCCTTCAATCTGGACTCATTCGGCCCTGTCGCTCACCGTATAACACTCTGATTCTGCCAGTGAAGAAACCCCATACAGGCGAGTACCGTTTTGTCCAAGATTTAAGGGCGCGATTATTGCTTAATGAGTCCTACCCAATCCACCGATCAGGAATCCCAAAATGGCGCTCTCAGAGTTGGCCACCAGCCAGGAGCGGTGAAGCCAGGAGGCGAGCGATCGCGAGCCAGAGAGACCCCAAGGCCCACGTGTTTGGTTTTTATATCCAACTCCACCCTCAGGTCCCAGCCACCCTCCCTTTGGTGGTGATGGGATTTGTCTTTCCCAGAGTCTTGATGGCTTTAGTCTGGAGTGGGGGTGGAGTCCACAAAGCCTGTATGGGACTAACTCAGAACATCATTTCCCCCTAACAATACCACCTTTAAAAAGTGGCTTTTAAAATCTTTAATAATAGGGACCAAAGTGAATGGTTAGAGAAGAAAAGGCTGTGGCGAGTGAGTAAAGACAGGCTCCATTAATAGACACCGCCATTGCCAGCGTCCTGCAGGCCCAGGCTTACGCAGGCTCAGAAAAAAAGACTTACCTGCCTAGAAGAAAGAACTAAGGAGCTTCAAAGACCCCGTGCTACAGGTGCAACAAGTCTGGGCACTGCAGCACAAATTGCACACAACCAAGACTCCCACCTGGGCCGTGCCCAGGTGCAAAAAGGAAGGCCACTGGAAAAGGGATTGTCCCCTTCTCTGAAGGGAGGGAGGACCAGTCCCTCAACTGGATGACGAGTGGTGGAGCCCAAGGGCATCGCCATCTCCCCACCTGACCATCTCCATGGCTGAGTCTAGGGTAACCCTGGGTGTCGCAGGTAAGAATATCAATTTTCTCATTGATACGGGAGCCACTTACTCTGTACTCACCCAGCAATCTGGACCAATCTTCCCCTCCTCATAAAATAAAATAGGAATGGCCTTAACAAAATCAAAGGGCACTGGATCTGCTTATCGCCACCCAAGAAAAACATGTATCTATTTACAGGATAAAACACACGTTTCAGTAACTTAATTTCTGGTCCTCTTCAACCTATAGATAGGACTAAAACTTTTTATATCTAACTGATCTGTTTGCTTTTAACAGATGACAGTCTCCCGCAGACTCCCCTTTACATGACTGCTTCTCCTGAGCACTTGAAATTGTCCTCATCCTGGAGCCCAAAAAGTCTCTGATACCATCTTTCCAATACCTGCTCTACCTCAAAATTGGAGGATATAAAACCTTGGAGTCATCATACTTGATTGGGAACTCTTCAAGTTTAAACTCCTCCAACAAAAAACAGCTGACCCATACAAGAATACCCTGTCCAGATGCCCTATACATACTCTGTATGCCTCCTTCCAAAACCAACAACAATAGGTAGCTCAAGGACTAAAGTGAGGGAGACCATATCCCAGGCCCATTAGGTAGGGCCAGCTCTACGTCCCACTCCAGCAGGAAGCAGCTACAGAAGACTCCCTTCAACTCCCCAGAAGATTTTGGGCCGGATATGGTAGGGGGGGAATGATGGAGGATAAGACTAGAAAAACTGAAAAGGAGATAAAAGGTCAAGAACCTAACTCGCATAAGGAGGTAGGGGTAGAATGGATCAGCATAATCCATTAACCCAGTTATAGAAACCAAGACCCTTAGGCATCAATGCCCAGATCAGGAGTTGCAACACCCAGAAACTATCAGACTGCTATAGGGAGTGTTGGGCACAAACCATCCACCCACAAAGATGAGCCCCTCCCTGAAGATGATAAAACATAATGCTGCCCCCATAACGCGGCAGCAGTCTTTCTGCCCACCTGTGACTATGCAGGCACTTCCTTTCACCAACTATCTCCCTCCACAGGGCAGCAGCCTTTCTGCTTGCCAATGACCTATACATGCCGGGTCTTCTCTTCACTGACCTCCCTCAGCAGAGGCAGCTCTCAAGGCCACCAGCCTGCAACTATGCAGGCCTCTCTTAGCAAACCTGTTCTTTCAGGGCAACTCTTCCTGCCTGCTTGTGTCTATGCAAGTGCCTTTTACTCTTGTGTCTCTTTCCCTCATAAATCTGCTCTTTTAATATAGCTAACCTCTCTACCTCGTAGAGAAACTCGCCTGGGAAACACTTGTCTCTTATTTCTTAAATTATTCCTAGTCTTAGAAGTGTAAAGGAAGAAAAACATCAAGTTCTTTATCCAGTCCTCTTTCAATGGGTATTTAGGTTGTTCCCATATCTTGGCTATTGTGATGATAAAACATAACGCTACACCCACAGTGGGACAGCACTCCTTCTGCCCACCTGTGACTATGCAGATACTTCTTTTCACTGTCTCACTCTGCAGGGCAGCAGCCTTCCTGACTGCTCTTGATTTCTCCTCACTGACCTCCCTCAGTAGAGGCAGCTCTCCTCAAGCTCCCTCGCCTGCAACCATGCAGGTCTCTTAGCAAACCTGTTCCTTTCAGGGCAGCTCTACCAGCCCACTTAAGTCTATGCAAGCATCCTTTATTCTTCTGTCCTTTTCCCTAATAAACCTGCCCTTTAAATATAATTAATGTCTCTGTCTCATGGAGAAACTTGCCTGGGAAACTCTCCCCGTAAGGCTGAAAAGGGAGCTCTGGTGAAACCTTTCCCAGAGTGAACCCAAGGACCCCGCCTTCCTAACTCCAGAAAAATAACAAGTTTCACCAGCAGCACGTGGAGAATCTCCCAGGTGAGTTTCTCCATGAGAAACTCTTTCTTTGAAAGAGCAGGTTTATTAGAGAAGGGACAGAAGGGCCTCCTTGGTGAGTCGGGAGTCAAAGACAGCTATCAAGCTATTGCCAGCCACTGCATCACCAGTTCAATCCCTGGCCACCTGGAGTAACACACATGGCGCAGCAGATGTCTCCCATCTTGCCCAATGCTCCCCTCAGCAGTGTATTTCAGTAGATCTGCCTGTTCTGTTCCCCACTCTGTCTCTGGTGAATCTTCTCACCCCCTGAACCTTGGTCTATACACCCCAGTTTTTGCATGCATAAATAAATAAATAAATCTTTTTTAAAAAGGAAAGGGAGAGAAGAGTAAAGTACACCAACACAGACAAAAGCGGGCAGAAAGAGCTGCCCTGAAAGAGACAGGTGTGCTGAGAGAGGCCTGCATGGTGGCAGGTGGGCAGCCTTGAGGAGAGCCGCCTCCACTGAGTGAAGAGAAGCCCAGGCATGGTGCAGGTCATGGGCAGGCAGGAAGCGTGGCCCTGCAGAGGGAGAGTTGGAGAAGGGAATCACCTGCAGAGTCCCAGATGGGCAAAGGGACTGCTGCTCCTTTGTGGGGGCCCCATGAGGTTTGATCTTCTTTTGGAAGGGAGGGGCTCATCTTTGTGGGTGGATGGTTTATTCCTTCATCTCCACACCTTCACCTTCAGGTCTATGCTCCTGACACTCCCTACAGTGTTCTGATAGTTTCTATAGCTGGATTAATGACCATGCTAATCTCATCCACCCCCACCTCCCTGTGTGAGACAGGTTCCTGACCTCATGTGTCTCCTTTCCAGTTCTTCTATTCTTATCTTGTGTCAAGTTTACCTGCCCGCTAAGAACACAGAATCCTAAAACTTCCTTGATTTGAAAAAAAAAAAAAAAAAAAACTTTGAACTTTTTCCTTTTTAAGAAAAATCAGTGAATATGGTCAAGTTAGTGTCAAGTTAGCATTCAACTTTGAGATTCGTGCCAGAAGGAGTTTGCAATCCTGATGTCTGGGTTAGCAGTAGAGGCCCCACACAGCAGAGACCTCCACATGTATGTTACCAACCACACGCCCCACTAGGACACCCACAGTCCCACAACTCCCTTCTTTCTGAAACAGCCCATCTTAAAAATTTCACACTGGCATCTGAGAATCTGTTGGAAAGGATTCTCTCAGGTCACTGAAAAGGAGAGTCAGAAGAGCAGGCACTTGATTTCTCCCCTTGCTGCTCCCCAAAGCTGCCCAATTCCCGGCTCTCAGCCCTGCAGGGAGGCATCACACACATAGTCACTGGCTGGGGCAGCTTCAGATTGCAAGTGGGTTTTATTGAAAGAAGCAGAGAGGAGGTTAACATGGGGCCCTGCAAAAGCTGTCTCCTACCTCGCCCAAAGCACATGGTACAAGCCTCAGGCAGGGATGCTGGTGTGGGATGACCAGGAGCCCAACTTGGGTTATTCCCATCAGGGTGAAGAGGGAAGAGCTCAGGAGAGTAGGGGCCAGGGTAATGAGTGGTCGTAGGGATGTATCTCTATCTGGCCTCAGTGGAGACCTAGCCGGAACCATCAAAGTGGACGGGCACCGGCGGGTTCCCCACACAGGCAATGATGATAGATGCTTGATGCCTATTGGTATTGTAGGTAGGGTTGGGGTGAAGGCCTGTCAGATTACAGTCTGTGATCATCATATTTTGTCTGCTCCTGTGGCAGTTGTTCTCCCCGTTTCTGCAGCGGATTCTTGGCTCCCGGCAGACGGCCTGGACAACTGCAAAGGTCTCGTGCACAAAGGTGTTGAAGTTTCTGTTTAAAAGATTCCGGTTCCTCATCATCTGGTTGCAGTAGTTGTGGCCTAAGTCCCTGGGGTTGGTGTCCATGTGCCTCTGATGGAAATTCTGAGCTGCAGGAGGCTGGGCCCCAACCAGCACCAGCACCACCAGCAGTGAGAACAGGACAAGGCACTTGAGAGCCATGGTGTAGTTGCTTCCTGGAGGCAGCACCTGGGAAAGAGAGGAGGAAAAGCCACCCCTTAGGAAAAGGACCCCACTTCCACCGCTGGGCTCCTTGGTTACAGGTACCCCTTAGATCAGCAAGAAAGTCACCCTCTTCCTGAGACCTGCCAAGTTATCAGACACTATTGTTCTCAAGAGCATTTTCTCCTGCTTGCAAGAGAAACTCCAACCTCCCCTCTGTGGGTGAACGCCCAAGTGCCAAACACTAGCAGTCCTGTCTGTGACCACTGAGGTGTTTTGATGTCAAGTACCTATGTACCCCGAGCTCAACCACCTCATTAAAAGATCCTCCCAAATAAACCATGAACTGCCATGATTCTCAGGATCAGGCTGACAGGCCCTGCTGTCCTCCAACTCAAAGGACAGTCAACCCAGTGCCTGAAAGAAGAATTTTTTTGTGTTCTTCAGAGAGATGCTGTCCTCTCCAATCTCGGGGCTGCTCCTTCCCCAGCCCTAGGGGTCTCTTTGAGCTGACAAGCTCTACCTGGCACCTGCTCAGCCTGGCCCAAGCTGTCTCAATACTGGCCTATCCCCTCCTTCTCCTGCCTCTCCACCCTCAAGCAGAAGCAGTTTCAGAGACCACCTGGTGGGCACTCACCTGGGTGTCTAGCTTGATCTCTGGGAGAGAGTGGAGGCCAGTTTCTGCAATTCCAGGGTCCCTGGGGTTCAGATCTTATAGAGAGTACAAAAGGGTGTGGCTTCCAAGAAGAGAAGAGTGGGCGGAGCATCAGAAATTGAGTCTACAGAGAGAGGAGGACAATGTGAGAAGGGGGAAGTTTGTCCACGTTTCCCTTTGCTGGGAGGGGCCTCTCACAATGTGGAGTAACTGTTTGCAGGTTCACCAGGAGGAACAAGAAGTTCCTTTAACACTGATGCCTGAACCTTAACCTAGTCTTGGTTTTCATTTGGAGGCCATTTTTAATATTCCTTGGAGGTTAACAAAGGGCATGCACCTGGTGACCCCAGGGCAGGGAGCAAACGAAAGCCCCTTTCACTTTTCCAGAGTCCTGGAGAGCTTGGCCTGGAATCCTCATCTCCCCATAGCAGTTTTTGGGAGACAGAAGGCATGGGCAGGAGAGGTGTGCAGCTGTGCCCAGTCAGAAACTTCCCCCTTCTGGAGAACAAGGGGGAGTGTCTGAACCAGGAAGTGAAGAAGCCTGTATTTTGGGGCCCAATGGGCCTCCCCAGTGCTGGCCACTTCCTGTACACCCATCACCCCCACTCCAGAGGGATGAAAAGTATTGTGTGGCAGGTATATCTACAGTGACAATTTGTCCTGTGGTTAAGTATTAAGAAAAGGAACTAAAGATGGAACAACATCCCTGCCCCCAAACCCTTTTGGAAAAAAAAATGCATAGCATCATTTTTCTTCCTAGAAAGAGATTGCCTTGTTGGATGACAGTGTTGCTATTTCTGGAGTGAGAATTATAAAAAGGATCCTCCATGCTCTGAATTTCAACAGTGTCAGCTCAAATTCTGTTGTAGCACCTTAAGAGCTGGGCACATTACAGAACTTTATTTCCCTGTACATCAGTGTCCTCAACTCTAAGAAGGCATGTTCATAGGAACCTCTTAGATTTATTACTAGGACAAAATACGGTAAGGCACAGAAGAGGTTTAAGTAGTGTTTAAACCATCCGTAAACATTAGGTCTGATTTGGTTGGGCCTGGAGTCCAGGAGCCAGACTCCAAGGCATCTTGGTCTTCAGTCCTTGTCTCGGCAATGGAAGAATTCAATGTGGAGTCCAGAATGGCAGAAGACAAAGATTTATTTTCATGTAAGGAGAAGGACAGGAGAGCACTCTGAGGAGAGAGGGGTCCTGCTGGCTGGCTATGCGGTGACATGAAACAGGGGCTCGTATGTTTTAAAATTATAATGGAGGGGGTAGAGTTGGGTGGATTATCTAATTTTCAAGACAGGTTTTTCTCTTATTGGTTTTGACCATCCCTCATCTATTGGGGCTTAGGTCTCCTTGGCTGGGTGAGGCTGGTTCCTGGAGTGCGCCAACCATGATCCTCCTAGCCAACATGGGTGTTTGCTCCTGGGTGGGCCAAGACGTGGGGATTGCCATTTCCTGAGGTCCCCTTCACTGCAGGGTGTCTGTTTCTTGGAAAGCGCCAACAGTGCTGATCAGGTCCAACACAGGTGTTTGCTCTGAAGCTGGGCTGACAATGAGCACAGGTTTCCCTTTTCCAACTTGGCACTGACAGGGGTATTAGTCTGCTAGTGCAGTGCAGAGCCTATTCTGCAGGACACAGAGATGGACTCTTTCCTGCCTGGCCCACATAGTAGGTAGTTACAGTGAGATAGGTATATAAGCAAGCAACATATAGAGCTTGCTTGGTGACTCTTGACCTAATGTTTACTAGACACAGAGGAAAACATTCCTTATCCCTTTGACCCAAAAAACTTTGTGATACTGATGTTGGGGAGCATTCTGGACACCCGTCTCCTTCACAGGATATCTCCAGATCTCTCTGAGATCTCTGCTGAGGGACACGTTCCATGAATTCCATTTCACATGAGCCTGGTGATGGTGTTCTGCACTCCACACTTCTTTGCTGACAAAATGGTCCTTTTTGTCCCCTTTTCCTGTGGGAACCACTCTGTTCAACTGAAACAGGAAAGGGAAGGCCCTGATGTTTCTTCTAAGTGGAGGGCAGGCATTGTCCAGGGCATCTGAGAGAGGATAAAAAAAAGATGTGGGTTTCTGTGGTGTTGAGTGTTGAGGACCCAATCCCCTTCAGGCTGGGATGTCCAGAGGTCTCTTGGTTTCACATATTTCAAGGGAGCCCACCCTTTCCTTCTATGCTTCCACTCCAAAGGAAGGAACAGTCCCCCAACCCTTCACCCAGGGGATAGCCCACTGCACCAATGCTCTGAGAGCTTATCACAGTGCAATAACTTCTGACACGACTGCAGTGTGAAAGAAACAGCAGGTAGAAGAGGAAACAGTGGGTCTGAGGGATGTGGGAGCCTGGGGTCTGCATTCTCTGCCATAGCCACAGACCTTGGTTTCCTCCTCAGAAGAGCTAAGTAATTAAATCAGAGGCTTTATTGAAGACTCAGGCTGAGAATGACACCCAACAGAAACAAGCCCTCAGTTGTAAAGCAAGTAAGACCTTGCTAAGAACCCAGGGGTGGAGAGGAGGACACAGCAATGAAGGACATGTCTCCTCAAAGTCTGTTTCCTTTTGTTGGCCAAGGGGCCTGAAACCACAGGGCTTTCTGCTATCAAGGAGGGAATACTAAGTATCATTGAGAGAAAAGGGCTGAAGTTGGGAATTCAAGGCAAGTTTCAGAGCAAACATTATTTGGGAGGGGGTTTTAATGATGAATAGTGTTTCATTATGGAGTTAGAAAGGGCAATTCAGACAGAATAAAATAAACCAGAAAGAGAAGTGAAGACACGTGACACTGAACTGTGTTTAGAAAACAGTAAGTCCCCATGTCATGGGAGGAATTGGGGAATCATTTAGACTGAGGTAGAAGTACCCTAAATGCCATGTGAAAGACATCAGTATGTAAAGGATAGACAGTTACCTTGAACTCAGAAAATGAAAGGTCACAAGCAATGGACAGGCTCTTCCTCCAGGGTGCCCATTGAGGGGGAGGCTGAGGGCCAGTGCCTGTCCCAGATCAGACAACAACTTGGCAGCAGGAGCAGAAATCAGCTTCAGGGCACAACAGGGCTATGGGGGTGCTTCAGCTGTTCAAGGAAAGATCCCAGTAGAGGACAGCTCACTGCGTGTGGGGTTTCCCCTGCCCACACATTGCAAGGCCACTCAGGGAACAACAAGCAAGGGGTTGACTTAATTGACGGGGGAAACCAGGAGTTCCTAAGGCCACAAGGGCTGCCTGTCTCCCTCTAGACAGTGTCCACAGTGTTCAAAATTCCCCCAAATAGGCCACTCATCCACGATTTGGCCACCCCACCAACAAAGGCCTGGAGCCAAAGGCAGCCAGCAAGCAGCGGGTGACCTTGAACTCCTGGGGCAGCAGGAGGTGCCAAGGGCAGCATGAGCTGCAGACTTGAAGGTCCAGATGAAACTGCAGCAGACACCGGACCCAATCACAATGCAGGCAGCAACGCTAGAAGATCCTGCGGGAAGATCCGCTTAACAGCCCTTGAAGATACCAGGCCTGGGGTCTTCTCAGGCAGTGACTCTGACAGGAACTGAGGCAGGTTCAGCTTCCCAATTGTTGCACAGTTCTTCAGCTTCTCTTTGGAGGTTGGTGCTTGAAGCTTCTTGCTTCTTATTCCACTTGTCTCTCTTTCTTCTTCCTTCTTTCGGGGCCAGGTACACAGTGCAGTGTTGGGAAGTCTCAAGATGTGGGTCAGGGGTAGTCGGGGAGGCAAGGGTCCTCAGGATGGCTCCTGTGCTCAAAAGATCCTCTTTCAGAGTCCCCGACCCTAGTGTTAGGGGGAAAAGGCAGTCCCAAAGCTAATTCCATACAGGCTTTGTGGACTCCACCCCCACCCCAGTGTTAGGGGGAAAAGGCTGCCCCAAAGCAAATTCCATACAGGCTTTGTGGACTCCACCCCCACCCCAGGTCAAAGCCAAAGACACTGGGAACTCCAAATCCCATCACCACCAAAGGGAAGGTGGCTGGGACCTGAGGGTGGGGTTAAGCAGCCAGGTGGATACAAAAGGCAGACACGTGGGCTTTGGGGGCGCTCTCCATGCTGTTATAGAGCAACCCCGATATTAAACGGGTTCCTGGCTGTGGGTCCTCACCCACGCGCTTTAAAGGGACTTATGAATACTCTGCTACAGACACACGCAAAAGGGTTAATAAAAGGTTTATTTACAAGAGAAAAAGAAATAAGGAAAATGTACAACTCAGGGAGAAAATAGGGAAATAAAGTCTTTAATGCGTCCTACCCGATCCGACGACCTGGAAACCCCAAAGTCACTCTCAGAGCTAGACGGACGCCGCGAGCTGGCCGAGGGCCCCAAAATGGAGAGCGCCCCCAAAGCCCACGTGTCTGCCTTTTGTATCCACCTGGCTGCTTAACCCCACCCTCAGGTCCCAGCCACCTTCCCTTTGGTGGTGATGGGATTTGGAGTTCCCAGTGTCTTTGGCTTTGACCTGGGGTGGGGGTGGAGTCCACAAAGCCTGTATGGAATTTGCTTTGGGGCAGCCTTTTCCCCCTAACACTGGGGTGGGGGTGGAGTCCACAAAGCCTGTATGGAATTAGCTTTGGGACTGCCTTTTCCCCCTAACAATTGCTGATACCTGCTGATTGGAATATTTGATGGGGCAGCACACGAGGTTGGGGTGCCACAGGCAGCAAATTTTGGCTCAGGCAGCTAACCCACCATGTTTCTCTGATAGCTCCCGGGGCTTAGGCGTTCTTCAGAAATGCCATTCCTGCCCTGCAGTCCACACTGGCCTTTTCCAACTTGATTCTCTTAAATGGTATTTGTGGCCTTTTATTGAAATTTGGGGATTTTCTTCAAGCTCACCAGGTAATTATAGCAGGCAGCCTAGATTGTGTCAGGGAGACAAAAGTCCACCTGGCCTATGACCTGCCTGGTGCTCCTGGGAGCAGTGTGGCCTTCACTTGTTTGAGGGGGAAAAGAGGTAGAGCAGGAGCCAGAAAAGAGTGTGGAGCAGGAGAAGGAGAGAGCAATGTGGCCCACAAACATCATCTATTTACTTCAGAAACATTGC